GGATGAAGGATCCACGAATTCTCCTGGAAGTCGAAGTGTTGTTCCATAAACGAGTTGAGCCGCAGTGTATCCAATGTCAGCTTTCACTGCATTGCGGATACCTAGTAAGACGAGTGGAAGAGCGTCGGTCCACTGTGAAACGTTTGCAGCTGATAGTGAAGCTTTTAGTTGTCGGTGAAAACGTTCTACCAACCCGTTTGCTTGTGGGTGGTAGGCGGTCGTTCGGAAGCGAGTGCTTCCTAATAGTGTGGTCAGGCGACGGAAAAGATCAGATTCAAACTGACGTCCGCGGTCTGTAATGATGGTTGAAGGGCAACCGAAGTTTGCTACCCATCGTTCGACGAAGGTGCGGGCCACTGTTTCAGCAGTGATGTCCTTGATAGGTACTGCTTCTGGCCATCGAGTGAAACGGCCTACGCAGGTTAAGAGATAAGAGTATCCATTTGAATCTGGTAAAGGTCCTACCAAATCCAGATGAACATGGTCGAAACGAGCATCGGGAGTTTTAAACGAGCCTAAGGGACATTTATTGTGTCTGATAACCTTAGATTTTTGGCAGCTTAAACAGGAGCGTGCCCACTCCCTCACGTCTTTATTCATACCAGGCCAGCAAAACCTTTCTGCTATAAGCTTGATGGTTGCACGAACACCTGGATGAGAAAGTTTGTGCAATGTATTGAAGACATTGCGTCGATAATGTTTAGTCACGATTAGGCGATCCCTACCTGTAGACGTGTCACAAAGTAAGGTTTCCTTACCTGTTCCCATCTGTTTGATGCGTAGTTTAAGTGTTGTGGACGATAACTCGTGCTGAAGATCACTATCTTCTTTTTGAAGCTCGGCGAGTTTAAGAAGGTAGATTCCTTGGAAACTGTTCGAGGAATTTATGCGAGATAAGGCGTCTGCAACTACATTGTTTGCTCCAGAGATGTGTTGAATGTCTGAAGTAAACTGCGAAATGTAGTCCAGTTGTCGAGACTCACGGGGAGAGTACTTGTCAGAAGGAGAGCTTAACGAGAAAGTGAGCGGTTTATGGTCCGTGAAAAGAGTGAATTCACGGCCTTCGATGTAGTGTTGAAAATGTCTTACAGCAAAATACATAGCTAAGAGTTCCCTACCGAATGTGCTGTACCTCGATTCGGTATCTAGCAACCTTCTAGAGAAAAATGCCAAGGGTTGCCAGGAGTTGTTAACCCATTGTTGTAAGACTCCTCCGATTGCCGAGTCGGATGCGTCTACTAATGGGTGCTCGGGTGTCCTGATGTGCGAGCATTGTTGCTTTAGCAATCAGTTCCTTAACTGTGGAGAATACTTTTCGTGCGGTGTCGTCCAAATTAATGGATTTCGCATTTCCACGAAGTTGGTCGGTCAGAGGTTTCATAAGTAATGCGCATTTCGGTATGAAACGTCTATAGAAACTTACCAGGCCGTTAAACGTGCGTAATTGCTTGACGGTGGTCGGTTCTGGGTAATCCAGAATGGCCGCCACTTTGGTTCTAAGGCGTCGGATACCTTGAGCATCGATAGTGTGTCCCAGAAAGTCTAATGAGTCGGTTCCAATTTGTCATTTCTGAACGTTTACAGTAATGCCATGTTTTTGTAGTCGTTCGAAAGCAAGATCCAGATGTTTGAGATGTGTTTCTATGTCCGAACTTGTGATTAGACAGTCGTCAACGTACGCATGTACGAAGTTGAGACCTCGAAAAACGTCGTCTATGAATCTTTGGAATGTTTGAGCAGCATTCCTTAGACCGAAAGGCATTCGCGAAAAGGTGGTCCTGTAGTCGTGATGTGATGTGTAACGTTGCTGGTTACACACGGTAGTTTCAGTTGACTTTGTTGTATCCCAGGGTACTTATCGAGTAGTGGTTGATAGAGTGGTTCTATCATATGTTTAACTGTGACTGGAGATACTCTGCAACCAGTAAAAGAAGTTACGCAAACGGACAAATTAGTGTTTCCGTCTACTAGCCTCCGTTTGCGCGTATCGATGATCAGATTATGGTGTTGTAGAAGATCCATACCAATGATTGGCATAGAAACATCTGCAACAACGAAAATCCAGTGGATGGGTTTGCGTAAACCCACGTTAAGGTAAACGTACCTTTTGCCATACGTAGCGATCGGTTTTCCGTTTGCCGCCTGTAAGTTTAGGGTCGATTCGTGTAGTCGGTCGTTAGGATTTGCGGGGAGAACGCCAACTTCTGCGCCAGTGTCGACGAGGTAGCGAACTCTCGTTGTCACATCTGTGACGAATAACAGACGGCTTTGTTCGCCGGCTACGGTTGCCATTAACGCGTGCCGGCTTGGAAGTTTCCCGAATTGCTTTTCGAATCAGTCGGTTTCGTGTTGGGAAAATTTCAGGGTTTTCTGCAATTTCTGGAAAGCTTTCCATACTGGTTATGATACCAGCACCAGTCGGGGTTATCTGTCTCTCGTGGTCTAGAGACAGATCGCTTACGAGAAATGCTTCTACGTGCTGTGCGCGATCTCGTACGGTCGGTACGAAGACTAAGATAACGCGTGAGTGTGTGACATAAGTCGTTTATATCATTCTGAGTCGTTTGAGGTTTCTCTTTGACTGAAAATACCTCGGTAGTAGAAGGTTTCGTAATTTCTAAAGTGCGGTCGGCAGATGCAGCTAGTTCGTCTAAGGCGTTGTTCTGGAACGAGACCAGAACTGCTTGCACCTGTTGGGGAAGTTTTGACAAGAAGAGTTGTTTGAATAGACCTCCGTCGAAAGTTCTTGGGCCTATAACCTCTCTCATCCGTTGCAACATGTCCGTCTCAGAACCGTACTGCAGGTCTATGTTATTAAAGAGTTGATCTAACCTTTGTCGATCGGTTAGGTCTCCTCGTTTAAGAGTCGAGCGTTTTAAGATTTCGTAAGGATCGGAAACATCACTAGTAAACATACTAGGTGTTACGTACCTGTTGAATTCGCGCGGTAGTGCCTTGACTACTGCGAGGAATTGTGCACGTGTGTCGATCACGCCGTGCTCGTGGAAATCGGCTTCTGCGTAGCAGAACCAGGCTTCGATGTTGTCGGGCCAGAAAGGCATCAGTTGAAACGAAGGCGGGGACAAAGTCTTAAGCTTGAGTACTTTAGGTGTCTGTTCAGTCATGATGAAGTATGAAGTACGATGACGAACGAGGGGAAAAAATATATATATATCCAAGAAAAAACACGAAAAAAAATCACAATGTTTAAAAAGAATAAAAAAATAAGGCAATGATATATAAAAATTCCAAAAAGGAACAGACACACAGTTGCAATTAGGTGTACCAGATCACGTCAGTCTCACCAATGATGATGTCACAGGTATTCAGTGTTTGACAACGCTTATACCAGTAACACCTTCTAATATATTTCGTTCCCGCCCAGAGAAATCAAAAGACAGAGTCGAGGAGATCGGAAGAGTATATTTGGCGATGACCAATATATCGGAATTCTCTGATCTAATCTGGCTAGCGATTGCGGTTGATGTTGAGCACGGCGTTACCACACGTGATCTGGTGCGGATGCCTGACCGAGCGCCTTCAGTTAGATGAGTCCACTAAAACATATGGTCAGCATCCAATGTCGAAAACTTACAGAGCTATTTATTTTGGGGATTTATTTACCGCTACAGTGTCATAGGTAGGATTGCCTGGTTATTTAGAGGGACCACCTAGTTCATTTGGACCGTCTGGTTGCTTCATATGTCGTAACAGGTATTACGGTTTTTTTCCCCAAGGTCGTAAGTTGTCTGCAGCTGCTATAGTCTCTTTACATCGGAGGTTGATGTGCGTTGTATCGCTGCTGCTTTCAGATTATCATAACGCTCATGTTCTGGCACTTGGTCGAATAAGTACCCAACTTCTGTGGCCATTTCGATAGGTAGAGCACCGCTACATATGCGTAGTTTGTTGTTTGTGAACGAATTCCCTTAGGTATAAATAGGGTTTCTACCCAGGCAGACTAGATACTTGGTTTATTTGCCCCATACGCCGGAAGTCGGAATTAAGATATGGCATCAATTGTGGTCACCATGGTTCCGGATAATTGAGGTAATACGGTAGGAGCATTTAAGAGAGGACCGTCGACGTCACTAAGATTATTAGGGGGATACATTACATGAAAAAGCCGACGAGTCTGGTAAAATAAGCAATGGACGTTAGGCTCGCCAGATAATTGTGGTGGACCAATAATGTATCAATTTCAAAAACAATAGTAAAGTTATCACGTCCAAAACATAATTTAATAATACATTATATGTAATCTATACACATAAGAAAAATATACAGGACTTTAGATAAATTGTCAGAAATTGGCGCCTTCGGGTTTCTTTTTGTGAAGTAGTCGCAAATATAAGTGGTTAATAGCTCCAATCACAATTGTTATAGTTCGACGTGTACATCGAGATAAAGCATATAATGAGAATATCAGTGTGATCTGCACGCGTAGATAGCAAATACATTAGAGTTCTTTTATCATAACAACAGGTAATTTAGAACAAGAGGCATACGTAAGTGACAGTGTATTTGTGAGTGATAATCAGAGCCAAGCTTTTATCCTCTTTTCTGTTTCGAATCATAGGTCGTGCCTTCACATAACCAGGAAAGCCTAACTACTACACAGATGGAGATCTAAAGGAACAAACACTTCAATATTTCAGCTGAGCAAAACTTGGCATTTGAATTATTGTGTGATAGTTTCACGCTACATAATTGAGCACTTCAACGATACGCGCAAATATTTGAGTCCTTTGGGCAGACAGGTTAAGCTATCTGTAAATTTATCTGAATAGTTCGAATATATTCAAAATTGTCTTAATATGACGCTTGTGTTGGTGATTGTTGCCTATTGCTTTCCGTAGTGAATGTAAGTGTATTGTGTGGGCTTCTGGGTCGTAGACTTATGTTTTCTATTATCTTTTCCAGGCTTCACGCTATTTTGCATGCTCAACTAGTACACAAAGTACTTTCTGACTTGACACGAACCGCTACAGTTGTATGCCATGGAACCTCCACATATGCTTATCCCAAGCCCAATATTTCATAAAAGAAACAGAACCATGTCTCAATCAGAAGGTGCCTCTAAAGGAGAGCATGGTATTGGAAAAATAATTAGCTTTTGTCGTGATAAAGGACATGGTTTTATTAAACCTGATAACAGTGATGATTGTATTTTCGTGCATGTTTTTGAGTAAGTTTGCCATACATTATAACAAGCTTCCAAGTATCGACGGTGAATACGTGCCTATCGAGGGAGACGTTGTGGAATATCGTAAGATGCTCATCCCTCCGAAGAATGAAAAGTACCAAGCAGTTCACGTTAGAATAGTCAACCTTAGTCCAGAAAAGCATAAAACCTGGGATGAACCAGCCTAGTTCTACATTTAATTCAAATAACTGACATCTTGGTTGGTATTTTCAAAAACCGGTTATATATATATATTTATATATATATATAATCAATATTGTAAATAGTCCAACCATCAATTTCCACCAAAACTTAGTTTTTTCAAGCCTAGGAGGTATAAGGTGTAAAGATTCAGAGTGTATTGCGTGAGATGTAAGTTTATTTCTGTTAATGTGGTTCGAACCACTCCGGAAACTGCAAACTTGCTTATGTTACTCCCATTAAAGCTAGAAAACCGAAGGATTCCCGAACCTCTGTTTAAATGTGTCAAAGACTTGCTGATAGCCTATCGGCAGAAAGTAGAAATAAGTTCTTCATGCTCTTCGTGAAAATCAGTACCTAGCAAAGTTATGTTTGGCGCATGTTATCTAATCTGTGTTACCTTACATTATGTCAAAGTCTGGTCAATAGTAGCATGGAGTGACATTGCATGTTCATCCCGAACTTGCCTTAGACGTTCTGGAAAACTGATCTAAATTGGGGTCAATACTTATGGTTGTGTGAAAGTCATGACATTGTCAGTCCTCTTAATCTTGTCGAGCGGGGGTATGACCGATTATTAAGATAATGAGCCATATACGTGTGACTACGACTTGCTAACGTGCTGTTGCAACTAGAGTTCTGATCCTCATGAGCGTTTAGTCGAGCATTTACCAACCTGGATACAAGCATATATACAGGCCTATTGAGATTTAAACTAGGAACCACGCCGCCAGCCCCAGTTTAGAGTTACACACTTTTGAAAATGGGCGGATGACTATTTCCATCCATATATAATGTGGCTTGAGAAGTTTTACCTCTTTACTCTCTTACGCCGGATTAAGTAGTGAAATAACTTCAATAAATTGTGTACTTGGAAGTAATTTTGGTCGTATGTCTCTTCCAGCTAGGTCGGGACGACTTATAAGACTGAAAGCGAGTTTGAAAATGAAAAGCGAACGCGGAACCTTTGTCGTGTAGGTCTTCTCACCGAGTAACCACCTGAGCACCTAGTATCCGCGTCTTACAATTGTCTCTGAAGAAGATTCGACACCAAAGGTTACTGAGGAAGTCTGTCGGCTTTATTCCTCAATAAACAATTGTCAATATTCCTGGGGGTGGGGAATGACGTACTGATTATTAATCAAAGTGTGCATCTGGATAGTGAGTAGTTTCTCCTGATTGTAGTTAAGTATTGTTCTCGCTACGTTGTTTTTCGCCTAAAGATGGTTTTTGAATCTCAGTTTTACGTCATTTAGTTAGAATCCGTTCACGGAAATGGGCCTCATCTCCACCAGTGAATGTGGGTGTTCGCTAAAAGTCAATCTTCTGTCAAGTATCTATTAGAATTCTAAAGGAAAGACTTACTTCTGTGCTGGGAATTTCACGAATTGCCCACACACGTACTGAGTAGCTGTGAGCCAATCGTTTAGACGCTTGAATCTAAACCATTTAGTTCCAGGCTCATGACTTCCCAACTATTCCCACAGACTGAACACTTGCAGTCAAAAGAGAAGTCTAGGTTGAATTTGGTCGTAAGAGGCACCTGGTTTCTAATGTAAATTCAACTAGATACAGATACGTGGAAATAACTATTCTCGCGAGGGCCGGATGCTGATCTTTGTTGAATAGTTGGATAAATGTTTATGCCTCTGGAACTTCTACATATAACAAGAAACACATTAGGGTACCAATAAATTTTAATAAGGAATAGAGGATGTGCATTATTGCAAGAGGCATATCATTGAATGGGCTATAACAACTGCAGAATATATCCTCAAGCAATTATAATATATTGATATAAGGACACAAGGGGTGGAAAATAAGAGGAACAAGCTTTATGATGCACTATGATGATAACTGCTATCATTATGTACTTCAAGAATTTGCTTAAACTTCGTCATTGCTAACCTGCTGTTTGTTGATGTAAATAAACGTTATCATTGGGGACGATTTAAAATTCGATCAAACGTCGAGAGCCTTAATCAAGAAAATACTTTTCGCGTGAGACTTTGCCAGTTCTGAAAAAAATACATGGCACAGTCAGTCAAATGCACCGATTAACCTAGCACATACGCAGTGGTTCGATTTGCCACGCCACGTTAAGACAGCGAGATGAAATTAGCAAGTCAAATTACTAATATCGGTTATACAGAAAAGGTCAAGATTTAGTGACTTGGGTTCTAAGGGTTGACGAGGTTGATCAGTGTAATCCTTGCCGCTTAATCTCCACTTACCTACACGGCTCACTCCAGTTGTCAATGATTTAACGAGTTGACAACACATCTTGTTTTGGTCGCTCCTAACCTATTCCGCTCGACAGTGTTACTCGGGAAAGCAGGCGTTGGTTTGGCATAGGCAATACATGTTCCGACCATGGTAGTTGGTGACGGTCCGCCGCCTCACCCATCAACTAGTTATCTTCACCCAGTACCTTAACCTCGACAGTGTTTATTCCTTGGTCCCCCAAGAAAAACACGAGTAGTGCTTCAAATGCTAGTGACCTACGTATATCTGCTATTCTTGATGATCATGGTTCACAGTCATGAAGTAAGGACTCGAACTGCTGCTGAATAAACATCCTCTCGTCTATGCCAAAGGTGACGTAAGTTGGCAGCGAACTAAGCTTACTGAATTCGCGCTAAGATTTCGTTAAACACCAACCCATCAGAGATGGTAAAACTCTCAGGATAATTATACAATCCATGGTGAATTTAAACATATCATCTGATGAATGTTTAGACCAGTCAGCTATGCAAGCAACTGCTAGCAGCCGCAGACCTAAATTTAGTCATACAGTATATGAGGTACCGGTCCTTTGGAGACTCAGCGTCTGAAGGATTTGGCGAGCGATAGACAGAAATCATTTAGTAATAAGGCGTTATTCACTGGTATTTTTCTTGCTACAGTTCAGTCATAATTACGCGACAAACAATTCTGAGGCTACACGTATAAATTGAAATGACTGAAAATATGCTACTAAGGAATAAAGCATTTTTGATAGCAGAGATATCCCACCAGAACTTTAGTAGTCAAGTCTAAGGTAAATGTTTTAGATTAATGAAGTTTTATTAACATTAGGATCATGGACCGATCTAAGGTAGATTGAATGATCAGTATTGGGTTTGAACAAGGATCTAGCTAAGTTGTAATAGAGAACTTTGGGGAAATGGGACAACGACCCCATAATCGCGAGGCTGGGTAGTTTTCTTGAATAGCACACAGCTCGTAACCGTGGCTGTGTTTTCTCCTGCACCTGTCCAGATGCTTCGTTGTTTACGGCAAATGTGTCAAAGTGGTCACACAGACAGGTGGCTATGTTACCACAACCCAGAAGCCTAGTTTGTAAACCTAAAGCGTGAAGCCACGATGGGGAAGTTATCTTTGTGACAACATATTGTCGATCTATGCAACATTTCCCTCTGAAATCGACTTCATAATGAAGAGTTACTATTCAGGATTTCGGTAGAACCTAACAGTGGTTGCTATTACATAAGCTAATATGTCGAGATTTCTTTTGATATCGTGAGGAACTATCTGCATTGATTGTCAGGCGTAGGATAGTATGATGGATAATACTAGTTCGACCTTGGTTTGAGTGCTCCTATATTCAGTCAGTCAGCTACAACGTAGGATCAGGCACATATGTGCGTCGTTTCGAGTTGCCATACCTCATTAACACAACAAGATGAACACCGGATTCATAGAAGTAGTTAATTCAGTGGTGGTAATATGTAAAAGAAAGACTGCATCTAAGGACATAGTACAGGAAGAAAGAATTAGTTCGTAGAATGAAAGTTATGAAGCAATTTCAATCTCAGACAGTGTATACTCCGACGCCATTGTGGTCGACTTTGAACCATATCACCCATCCTATATTCACGCTACTATGTAGCATTCACACAGAAGATTGCTGTTCTAAATTCCTGGTCCGAGATATCGCTAACTCTTACAGAGAAAGATGATATTCTATGCCAACAAAATAGTAACAAAAAGAATTATTAGATGTGGTTTCTCTCAACTCAGTCTTTCAAGTTACTTAGTAGGATAACGTGGCAGTATGGAGTGAATATACAAATACGTAGACAGTATTGGCAAATCCATGAAATTTTTTTAGTCAAATAAAAAAGATATCTATGAAGTCGTATACCTACGGTTTTATCAGTTTATTCTGACGGTCAATTATTTATGTTTTTAAATTACAGGGTTCAATCTGAGTGACTCCCGAACATTGTTAATCCGCTGATCCAGAAGAGCTAAGTTGTCTTGAAATTCCATTTCGTCAATCACTTGAAGTGGGGAAATACTGGAAGTTACACTAGAAGATAAGGAACATTTATCATCAAGCTCTATGATTTCTTGGTGATTAACTATTTTTCGGATCTACAAAATATAAAAACGCATTTGTGTAAAATATAGGTGTAATGAGCTGTGTAATTGTAAGTTTAGTTAGGAATTATGTATAGACAATAATAATTTTTCCGTATTTTATATTCAAGATAAATAAAAATGGCAGTTTTAGATTTCAATGGTAAGGATTTTTACAATTATCAGTGTTGCACCTCATGATTGTACTCGTTGTATTTGGCTGGAATTATAAATAAGTTAGTGTCTGTGTGTGGTTAGTAGTATAGCGTTTGTCGAAAATTCGTTTACTAATCACTCCTCTAAACGGGGCTTTTTCTTGCACGTTTGGTAAAGGTGTTTTAGAATCTCATTTGATACGGGGTATTATGCACAGTAACTTTAAATGACAGAATTAGACTTAATAATCGATGTTAATGCTATGATCATTTTATTAATGGTTCTTTCGTTGAGAATTCTTTGAAAAATTATTTTCGATTCTTTAAAAAAACAAAAACTACGTGGAAAATTTAACGTTGCTATTCATGAAGAACTGAATTAAAATGTTTCATTAAGACACAAATGTATTTTTTATGGTATAATCTGAATGAAAACAAAAGGAACATATATTATTCTTTCATTAGAATTGAAAATTGCCATAAATTGTTGAATTCTTAGTTATTGCAATCTGAATTCATGATGAATGAACCCCAAAATATAAATCTTCTGTTTAACTCCATGCAAACAAGCTCATTGGCGATAAAAACCACCGATGAATTGAGTTAGAAAAGTTCACTTACTCAGACAAGTGGAGATGCGCATAATGGACAAAATCTCAGTCTACAAAATTTAACTAAAAGTTGACTTAACATATGTAGAAATGAAGGACACACTGAGCCATATAAATACATAGGAACTAGCATAGACAAGCATTAATAAAGTATGCTCAAGATTACATATAAGTGTTTGGCAAGGGCAAAATATGAGTGACAGCGTGTATATATCTTTCCAAAATTAGTACGAATATGGGAATCCTTTTTAGGAACACATCGTGCAGAATCTTAATGTATAGTTGGGGTATGTGTTGCTAAGATATTAGACAGTATGAGCGTCCGACTCTTAGTTCAAATAGATTCTGTTGTATTTCAATTGTAGTAATTGGCCAAAGCCAACTCAGCGTCATAAAACTGTCAGAAAACGAAAGTTAGAACAAATTCAATTATGGTCTGAGGATGTTGAGTTTTTAGTTACGGACCAATTTTGTTAACATAGAACACTTCTTAAAATACTCTCCAATCTCAATAATAAGCACATTTTCTTATGACAGATTTAACTTCATGAAATATTCCTGTTCTATGAGTATATCAGAGTTGCAAATTTTTGTCGGTAAATCCACTTTCCGACAATTTATTATTAACGTTGTTAGTGATCATTGGGATGACCAGTCCGTTAACTGACGTCAATCAATTAATTATCTGACGATTCTTCAGTATGTTGACAGGAAATTTCCTATTCTCAGTTACTACTGGTATAATTTACATTTGTCGGTGACATTAACTATGGAATACACTACCCCATTTGAAACTCAAATCTATTGCAATATGTGCAGACACTGGACTAATGAGTTACAATGCTAACAGATTGTTAAACTGCAAACCACTATTATAATCGTAGGCAAAATGAAGATATATGGAAAGACTACATGCTAACATTCTGATAAATTCATTTAAACCGATTTTGTACGGAACACCAGACAGCTTTTAGGTTATCATACAAGATTATCAGTAGACGAATGTAGTTCACTTTAATTCATCTTTTGTAATAAAATTAGATTTCTAAATGCTGACAGAAAAGATCTCTTAGAGTATGTGTGTTTTGAGTAACAAATATGTTATTTTACAACACGATTCATGCCTTTTGTCAACTCCAGAATAACTAATCATACAAAACTATACAGAGCAACATGAAACTCGATAGCTCTTCCAGACTATACATGGTTAAATATTACCACTAGAAGAAAAGACAACCATCCATTATAAAATGCAATGGGAGTATGGTAGTTGATTTTGAAAGAGCGGATGGCAAGTAATTAAAACACTCAGTTATCAACAATTAAATTTGAGAAACCTGAAATCACTACTATTCATACATAAAGAAGTTACGGCTTAAGGTAGAGTACAAAAATTTGTACTCACAATACACTATTAATGATTTATCTTACTTTAAATTATTGAAGCTATTATATATATATTCCAAGAAAAATAAAATGGAATTTAATGTAATAAAGGAAACAATGAGAACATTTACGTCGTTTGAACTTGAAGCCGTTGAATGCACCGAAATACGATCACCTTCATATAAATTGTCAAGACTGGTTGTATTTTGTAGTTGGTTCGTGCCGCAACTGTTAGTAATAAATATGAAGATTTTACTCGAATAATTTGAAAAAAGATTGCTGTTTCGTGTGAAATAAAATCATTCGAAAGTTTAAAATAAAAGAGGAAAGTCTGAACGCCTTCATATTAGAATAGGACATTCATTTCTTCTAGCTGAACCACTTTAAATCAGAGGTGGGCAAAATATAAAATTATGCGTCAAAGCAGCTAGAAGGGATTATTTATATGAAAAGTTTGTGCCCATCAATTATAGACGTGAAAAACGTTATTGTTATGTCATGCGGCGTCCAAGCGTGATACTGATACACGAAATTCTTTTATACAAGCCCTCAACAAGCTGCTGAGTGAGAAAACTAAAAGTAAATGAGGGAGTTTATTGGAGTAAACCAAATGAAATACATAAGGACTCATTTATATAAACATATCTACTCAGTGAATCCGATTCTTAGCCAACATGCGCTTGTCATTAGGAGATTTTTGTTTGGCACAACACAGCCTTCTCATTCAGCGTATGTTGATTAGCCCACTGGCTGAAAGTGTTGGAATGGATGCACATCAATTACTAATTTTATTGCCTATGCTTTTATTTTGAATGTTCATATGAAGGTTGTATGACCGTTTCCAATTAATTTTTAATTTATCGTCAATAGTATTCTGCACGGTTGATTGTTATGCGTCAGAGTTGGGAAAACTAAAGCATGAAGACCGCAAATCTTTTTTGAAGTCATTTGGAATTATGCATAGAAATGATCAGAAGTGAAATCGTACTAAAGAAACATGGTATTTATACTAGAGTTTCAGGAAATGGTGTTTAAAATTCAACTTGATTTACTAACTAAGCAACTTGAGGAATTTAACTATAGTCAGTTCCTAACATTAACCACACAAATGATTTCATTGGAAACTGATCAGGAATACAATCGCCAGATTTCAGCGCTCAATTATAAATTTCCACGATGTTTTAAGTATTTCAAAACACGTGAATCACAGTGTAATTTACTGGATTTTTCATTTGCTTCTGATATTAATGGAGTTAATTGTGTTCTTCAGTTGAAGTTAAAAGATCTACAGGGTGATAGGAGCCTGAATGGACGTTACAAATGTGCAAAATTGACTAGATTATATACGTAAAGTTAACAGAGGTTAAATTTTACAACCTGAAAATTTTTTCACGTGAAATGTTCTCTCTTTAGGTTGACTTATATTTGTGAGCCGGCGTTTTTATGTATAAATTTAAGTAAGTCAATATTTTAGAACTGGGAAGGATAGCTCAGGACAGAGTTGGATGGAGAGTGCTGGTGGGCGACCTATGCTCCTTCACGAGAGGTAAAAGACGTAACTAAGTAAGTCAGTATTTAGATGTTCCTTTTTCATCTGATGATGGTCTGTTAAAAATAGTGAATAAGCAACTACTGGGAATGTAAATAGCGATAATTTATCAGTTAGAATATTTTATGTTCGTATTTTCTTTCCACTTTGTAAATCACTGAGCAAAAAGTGGTCAATTAGTTAAAGAAGTCAGCCTATTTTCGGTAAGACAAAGAATATTGAAAGACCAACCTTCAGTAAAAGTTATGGGTGGTGGGGAGTCAAGTTTTATATGCTGGATATAGTCGACCTGAAAGTGCATGTTATTCTCAACAAAACATGTGGTCAGATAGATAAGAATGCTTAACGCCACAGTTCCGATTAAGACGCCTTCTCTGGAGCGGTTGAGTGAAACTATCTATGACCTACATAGTTCTTTAACACTACATTTGACAAACATTTTTTAAATTACTGGTGAAAAAAATATTTCAAAACCGAATTTTCTACTGATGTGGTATAGAATGATTGTGAGACTTAAGAATTAATTGAAAATATTACTTTATGAATGACTTGATTTTTCAATAATATATTGTTTAACCTAGCCTATTTTCAGTACCCTTTACGTGATAATGTTTTTTTGTGAAAAATAAAATTACCATAAATATTGTCAAATTCTGACAGAAATTCATACGAAGTTCAGGTAGATGATGTCCAGAAAGTTAAGCAAAACTTTATGGCTAAATTACCCAGCTCTGAAAATAAAACTTCACACAAAACACTACGAAACAGTGAGCGAACGGGCTTTCAATAACGGGGATCTAAATCTACCATTTCTTATTTTCACGTGTGAACATAAATTCTGCAAGTTTCAGTTAAATTTAAGGAAATTTGTTTTTACTTAGCAAAAAGATTATCTTCTACACCATAACATGTGTTTGCTAGTCAAAATGGTAGATACTGTCTATCTTATTTTGTGAATTTATAGTGCAAAATGTTAAGGCTTGGATACCAAAAATTAGTTTTGGACGATATAGCGATTAATGTATATATCTGGCAAGTAGATACTGAACTAAAATTGAGCAAAAACTTGTAGCAGAACAGTATACTATGTGACCAATTGTCAATTCAATTACTGTGTCTATTGATCAAAAGCAAATTAAAGAATAATTCATAGGTGGTGTATGCTGAGAAACGTGGTGAACATTTGATCAAGATGGCTAAGCTTACCTGTTGTAGTTGTGAACACGTTTGTTCGTTTGACATGATTGATTAGTTAGACGCTGAAGAACCTTTGGTGTCACACATTCATGAGGATCTCGATATTCACTACTGAGAGAAAGAAGTTTGCTTAAGGTAGGAAAAGTAGCTGATAAATCTGGTGTTGATCTAATTGAATCAATATTTTTTAGATACCGTTTGCAATGCGTTCGCTCTGTTGGGAAATTGTCAGATCGTTCTTGTGAAAAATGCTCTGAGTTACGTGGATTCGGAATTATGTTTGAATAACACTGTTCTAACATAGAAATGCGTTCTTTCAAGAGTTTTATATATTCTCGTGAAATTTCAAGATTTTTTGATACTTGTTCTTTAGCAGTGACAACAACAGAGATCTTTCTATGAAACCGGTCCTTTTCTAGCTGAAATGTTGTTTAAAGATATTCATCAGATAAATAGCTTTTGATTAGAAATCACAGTGAAAATAAAGCAACAGAAAACTTTTAATATCTAGAGGTAAAAAACTGCAGGATAATAAAGAAAAAAAGTAACTCAGTAAACTTATCCAAATCAAACAATCATTGTCTTACCTTCTAGACACCATCACATTCATTTTATATTCATGAGACATACAATCGACACTACCTCATTGATTCTTTCCATGGGAGCTACAAATGCTCATAGAAGTTAATTAGCGGTCAGATCAAGTATAGATAGATTTGATTATCTTAATCAAACCATCCTATGGATTATTACACTTTGCCTTCACGCCAGTAAAGATAAATAAATGATTGATGTAAGTAAAAAAGTAACAGATACGTGTATTGTATTGGTGCCTGTGTGATCGGGCAATAATTATGAGAGGAATTGTATTGTCTAGTTGGATTATTGATTAGCGAACCTAAATTACCTGTATAAGACTGAGGACTTGTTTGTCAAAGACAAAATTATCTTTTTTTTACCAATAACTCAGTGACAATGAAATAACATCCAGAATCAATACTTAAGACCTACTGTTTCACGATGCAGCCTCATATTTTTTTATCCAATATAAAGGATAGAACAAGAACACAGCAAGTAGAGACTTCTATCGTACTGTTTCGTTCAGAACTTAAAGTCGTGTGATAATCTAGGCTAACTGACTGAAAACAGAGCAAATAAACAAGATAGTCAAACGTAAACATGACTACACGATAAGCGGTGGAGAGCTGAATAATAAGTGAGTAGTGAGTTAACAGTAACTTAAGGGAATTAGAAAATAACAGAGGTTTATTTACTTAAAGAAAACTTAAGGATAGGAGAATATTAAAGTACAAGAATTCAAGTGACTAATAATTTTACAACTGCAATATAAAAAACTACGTAAATTAGTTCAAAATATCACAATATTCGACCCATTATATTATTATTGAAAACACAGAAAACATGAAAAAGATATTCCATCCATAGACAGACAGAAATTATTCATTATTTCTGACCATCATCGATTATTCGGAAGAAGATACCGAAGCTGGTACTTTAATATAGTGGTCTAGGTTACCTATTATAGTGACCTAACCAAACTTTAATGGCTGGAATACCTCATTTGTTAGGTCATATCATGTCAGGCAGATTTATTGGAGAGAGGTAAAACTAAAAACACCAGCTTAAGATTCGACGGCTTAGTCATAGCGTTATTTGTATAATGGTGTGAAGGGAATAAGGTTTATTCCTTAGATGTGTCTTTTTACAACGGAGAAAATGGGTATAAATAGGTCCGTATTGAAGGCAGTAAATCTCTCTTTTGTCCGTTTCCAGCGGTAAAGCATTAAAAGTAAGGGGTTAGTTCATTCAAAACTCGGAAAAAGGTCGTGTGTAACTGGCCTTAACCAGTTGTCTTTTGGACGTCGTGGATACGCTCTCAGGTGATCAAGAACATTCCTTTCACAGTATAGACAATGAAGAAGCCACAACAACTAATATATCTCTGACAGCCCCTGAGATTACCTAACTATAAAGTATAACTGATCATATTATTATCTTGATAAATAAGTTAAGTATCTAAGTATATTTTATGATAAATAAAAAGTTATTTAGAAAAAGCTACATTTGATCCGCCAATTTGGGAGATAAGGATGTAACGCTTGTAAAACTAGAAAATGTTTAGTTAGTTCTATGGTTTTGCTAATAAAACCTTTAAGTGTACTTAAGCGCTTGACTCCCGAACAAATTCGTGTTTGGTGATAAACTTCATTTTCACAGACTACGCTTTTGCTGTTTTATATGTATGTACATTTAATTATTTACACTGTAAAATCAACAATCTGTAGTCTCACATAAACGGTAGTTATGAGAATTATTCATATCTTAAATAAATCTAAATAAATTGTCACTGTTCATATGTATAGTTGTTTAGCATAAAATCACTTAAAACCTTAATTCAATCGGTGTTAATCTGTTTGTGTTGTCATATCTGTGAAATGTTTCTTCCAGAAATATGTGCGACGATCTAAACAGATCAACAATAAAAAAATATATTGATTATTGGTTAGTGCTAAGCCAGTAGAAAAGCATGTTTTATTGTGTTCTGGGAACATTACAATCCTTTGTTTTTGTTGCGGTCATATTAGACAGCAGAGTTGTCAAAATCTAAAAAAAACAATGATTGATTTAAGAATTTTATCATATAAACAATGGTTTAATTAATACCGAAAATCAACCATAGATCATTGTCAATGATTACATGATTAATATCTTGATTACTGATCAAACGATTTTCAGATGACAATTAGGGGTCATGCAACTGATCTAAGATATTGTGGAATTTGTCCTTGTGAATAATTTTTGTTTCATTTGCAACTAATTCTGTATTTGTGTTTGTAGCTTCAGTGAAATATCCTGAATGGAATTTCATTGGGTTGCGTTCTGATTGATAAAGATTATGCTTACTCATCAATGTCAATAACTCCATCTGAAGCTACTTCAGGTTCCAAGTTCGGGTAAAGGGGGACGATTAGGCGTGAAGTTAGCATCCTCAACTTGCAAAAAGGCTTGAGATACTAACAAGTTCTAGGACCAGACAGTATACCAACCGAAGTAATGGATTCAGACACAAAAGTAACTCCAAAGATTTCAATATTCTCATTAGAAAGATTTGAGAGGAAAAACAAGTCCCAACAGATTACAAAAACGGATACCTCATAAGAATACTAGAAAAATGAGATCTTCGTAGGTATAAAAACTATTGTCAGTACTAGACACATTTTCGAACAGTGTTACTGGACCGAGTGAAAGATTCAGTAGTTACTCAACTTCGAGATCAACAAGCTGGTTTTCGTATGGATCAATTGTATACTGACCAAAATGCGACAATGACGATTATTATGCAGCAGTCAATTGAATGGATCTCATTGCTATGCATGTACTTCCTTCATTAATGGAAAGAATTCGACAGTGTAAACCTTGTGTAATCCACGTCAACACCACGAAGTACATAACAACATCTTCGTTGGGATACAAGACTCCCTACGATGGACCGAACTGCAGAGCTGTGCGTAGAGGGCAGCTCACAGATGCTTTCCGAGTGACCACTAGTGTCAGAAAAGGAAGCTTACTCTTGCCATTTATCTTCCTCCTAGTTTTTGACTGAAGTATGAAGATGTCCACAGCACAGAGTACAGTGAACATTGAAAGCAGCTGGACTTACCTTTAACACTTCATAGTGTAAAGTAGTCCATCTGCGACATGTCGCATACTACAGTTACAACTTAAGAAACTCCTCCCTAGTAGTATCTCGAGTCGAAAAAGATTTGGGAGTCCTGGTGCTCTACGATCTAAAGTCTTACGCTAACTGTGACAAAAATGCCTTCCGAGCAAATCTTGCACTGGTAATATTGAAGCGCATTTTTGGCCAGTTTGACGGAAGAACTTTCCACACAATCCTCAACAGTTTTATTCGTCCCTATTTAGAGTACGGGAACATAGTATTTCCTCCCTCACTCCAAAAGGATAAGGACACTGGAGCGTATCCAACGGCGAGCCACGAAATCAGTTCGGGGACTCAAATTCAAACCTTGTGAAGAACGCCTCCATTCACTTAACCTTTACCCATTAGAGTATAGACGTCTTAGAGGTGACCTTCTGATGGCTTATAGTATCCTTAACACTTCTGTACCCGTATTGGTGATACCCTACTACTAGCCACTGAAGCCTGTTAAGCGAAGGCTTCTTCTATTTCGTCCACAACCATTTGGATGATTTGAACTTTGTGACCCGACCGAAGCTGCTACCTTGACGCGGTGGTCGGGCTTGCTTATCGTGATGACCCAACCGTGCTATATTGGCTGGAACATATGTTCCTGGAGAACGGTAAGACTAAAAGCAGCAACTCAAGGTCTGAGGGAAAAGTCGTACTACTGACTGTAGAGGGGTGTGACAACAGTAAGATTTTTCCCTCGGACAGCCAGCATGACAGCGATGCTGCCTTCCTACAAGGAGGGGTGGGGTTAGAAAAGACCGACCCTAAAAATGTCACACCTCACCTTACCTCACGGATTTCCGTCTCCGGCGGTAAGGCCCTTTGAAGAACGGAGCTAACACATTAAAAACCTTCCACGAAAAGGCCGTGCGCGACCGGCTTAGGCAGTTGTCCCTTGGGCTTTGCGGTCACGCTCCACGGTGTGGGCAGCCGGGAAGTGATATCAGCCCTCATACTCGTAACAGCACACGAGACCAAGTTGGTCACATTCAAATCCTTCCTACACCTCCTAATACCTCTCTTATCTCCATGACTAACTCTTCTCACGTCTCTTTATCACCTCGCACCGCTAAGGCAAACGATTCCAGTACGCGGAACGTAATTCCTGGTATCCTGAAACCACGCTCTAAACTACATGTAGGAGCTTTTAACGTCCGAACACTGTGCCAAATAGGACAGCAGGCTTCCTTAGCTGTGACTTTAGAATCCCGCGCCATCTATGTGTGCTGCGTCTCCGAAACGCGCATACAGGATCCGAGTAGCGTCATTCATTTGACCTCACCATATCAAAATAAAGGGTCATCTCGCTTCATGCTTTGTGTATCTGGAAGCCTTGATTCTGCTTCCCGTGGCCTCGCTGGTGTAGGTATAGCGTTGAGTCCTAAAACAGAACTAGCTCTCTTAGACTGGATCCCAGTAGATAGTCGTATCTGCTCCGTCCGACTAAACGGAACAGTAAGAACTCAGAAAGATATGGACACTCGCCGTTGCCTCTTCGTCGTCTCTGAATACTCTCCCACTGACTGCAGCGCAGATGAGGTAAAAGATGAGTTTTATAGAAAGCTATCCAATCTCCTCCAAAAAGTTAGGCGCTTGGATGTAGTAATAGTCGCCGGTGACTTTAATGCTCAAGTAGGTAAACTAAGCGATAGGGAAAGACATCTGGGTGGATCTTATAGCATCGTG